ACTTGTAGAGCGATCTCGACAAACATCACGTCGGAACAAAATATCGAGGCCAGTTGGAGTAATTGATTCACTAGGTGTGCTGTGTAACATTGCAGAGAGAGCGACTTGACTCTTGACTGAAGAAATTTTTGCAAGATGCAGAGCATGGTAGGCCTTGAACTCCATCCCTCTGAAACAGTGATGAACTGTCACAAGAGCAGTTTAGGATCTGCTTGCAAGGAGACACAAATCACACAAGAAAATTCACTGGTACTTGAATCACGTGGCACAAGGCCTCGCCGCCTGAAACGGTCGGTGCTCCTCTGCTTCCGGGTGCCATGGATCGGCGGCGTGCTCGCCTGGTTGCCTTCCCCATCTTCTTCCTATGTTCGACGAAATGCATCTATTGGAACTGGGGAGGATGAAGGAAAGCGTGAACGAGGTGGAGGCCTGCTCCTGCTCGCCGCTATGCTTGATCCTTGGCTCACAGGAGGCATCAAGAGTTAGCCTCGTGCTCACTGATACATTTGCAAAACACACAGCACCTAGGTGTGTAGCAACACCCAGTGGCCCCCTTAAACAGATGATGCTAGGACCTGAGAAACTTGGACATCCTGTTTTTACTACTACTTTCTATGGCGCGATCAAGTCATGTAGTCATAAGATGCACCCAGTTTTGAGTTTCAACACATGTAGTACTAGTTAGCAGCAAATGACATTTTAACAGTGCATGCCAGTCCAGTTCTTTCATGCTGAGGATGGATCCAGCGAAGATAGACCCAACCATTGGGCAGTATCTATCTGCCATGAAGTTATCTTTTCTTTCGCCATGCGGAATTCTTATGTCGGGTTCCACTATGATGAGAAATAACAGAAGAAACCTAACAATTGTGGCATTTCGTTACGACAAAATGCAGAGGCAACTGCTAGCTACAAGTATCAGGATAACATGAGATACAACTACGTTCATGCGATACGCAGGGTTGCATACAAAAGATCAGCGCATCACCATCGCAACCGGCCTACTAACCGCTGCCACCATGATGTTATCTAGACTTTGTTTAAAGATTTCTACATCAGAAACTTGGATAATAAGCAGCATGGTCCACGAGTCGGCCCTCGGACCGTATAACGACAAATTTCAACACAAGAAGTGGCCACCAGGGTGGAAGCAGGCAGGCCCTTGGATTTGCTGCATGTGAGTATGAGTAAACTGCATAATGATCAGATCCAGCCCTTGATTTCCGCAAAGGCAACCGCCGCCACTAGGGCACCCCCTAGATGAGAAGAGCCTGACACGTGACTCCCGCCCTACAAAAATGAACGGGCAAAAGTTAGTTCCGTTCTAGATCAGAAAAGGTATGAAGAATTAATGGTTATCAAAACATGAACAGTACTTGGGTACCAGATCATCAACGACAATAATTATGCAGAAATGAGAGGTTTCAGACAGATAGAGATCTTTAAGGAATGGTGTAGTTTGACATGGCTTGACTAGCATATTAAATGGTTGATGCTGTCAGGCGAGACATTGACTTGAAGTAGGTCCATTGCATTAAAAAGTAGAATCAATGATCACCAAAAAGGTGCAAACATTAGAAGAACAAACAAGGAAAACTACAATTAGGTGTGAATATTGAGCCATATTTCCAACCACAGGTCGATTAGATACCTGGAGTTGTATATATCTCTTATGGTTAGGAGCCATACACGTGCAATTCACAGAATTTCAAGTTCCGAGTAACAATACATGAAAGTAGCAGTTACACTGTCAAAAAATCATGGCCAGTGAACACAAGCAACCGTCGCACAAATCACATTCACTTATTCCTAGATTTTTTTGGTACCCGGATTTAGTAAAGAATAAATACTATATAAAGAAAACCACATAAATAATAAATGAAAGTTAGATAAATACCTTCTTGACCCTCCACAAATCAGCACCAATCAAACCAACTCCCTGAAATAAGTAAAGTCAGAGAAATTATGTCCTCACTACCTTGCACACCCACATGTTTATCAGATTTTTTTTTAATAAAAACAAAAATCTTCTCACCACTAATGCAGCTGGAACGGGAATGAAAAGGTGTAAGTATAGTAGCTTCGTCGGATGCAAAAATATCTCAAGAAGAATAATTGCATTAACTGCAGCACTTGCACCCTGAGTGACATGAAAGGATCATATTTAGTGTGTAACAACCGGCACCTTCTGTACACATTCACTAATGGTGTCCACTGTATCGCCTCTGATCAGCAAATTTTCCATCCAAATAGTTATTTTTTGGTGTGCGGTGACAAATAGTTGGTCCATTGGGGCAAATTTCACTGTAATATAGGAGTATGATGTACTCCCTCCGTTCCTAAATATAAGTCTTTGTAGAGATTCCACTATGAACCACATACGGATGTATATAGATGCATATTAAGAGTAGATTCATTCATTTTCCTCCGTATGTAGTCCACCTAGTAGAATCTCTACAAAGACTTATATTTAGGAACGGAGGGAGTAGTTATAAGACAGGAAATCACTTACAAGACAGGGAGTTTTCCATCCTCCAAAAACCTGCAAGAGAAGCATTACTTATTTGATTAGGAAGATTATCGTGCAGCTTAGAAAAAGGAGCTTAAAAAAGGGATCTTGATCCCAGAAGTTTTGCTGGCATCAAGTAGCTAGCATGGGCAGCAAAGTGACTGAATACCAGTCTTCTCACATGAAAGTAACTGGAAAAAAATATGTACTAAATCAGAGATAATATATATAATCGTATCATAGGATTTTATTTGATAATCAGAACTAATTGATGCTCAGGATTTGGAATCCAGTTCACTGATGTATAAACATATTATTACCTCTTTTCGTGGAGCTAGAAAAATCTTTTCTGCCAGGTAGAATACCGACCCAGTAAGTGCTCCAGTAACGTACAGTTGGAAAAGAAAACCAGGGCCAAACGTGCGGGCAAGCTGATGTACAAAAGAAAAGAAAAAGAAATTTAACTGATAATAAACCACAAGGTTGGTGATAAAGTATCATTGCTCTTTGTTAATCCTAAGGAATCCGGTTGAAGTTACGAAAAGTCAGTCCAACAGAGTAGTATATATCTCCAAGTCTCATATACAATAGTACCACTCGTATAGTTATACGGCGACAGTGTTGCTTCTCATCGAAGATTTAAGGAAAACTAAGTGCTTTCATTAGAGTGCATGTGTAATGTTGGTCTGAGTGCCAATACAGGAAAGATAACAAATACTTACATACAGGAAAGCCAATTCACTCCTTTTTCCGATGAAGGAAGCTTTATTGATCTTACACAAGTACATGAACCAAAGTTAATGCAAGTGAATTTCTACATTTAACTGATACTACCTCCGTACCTAAATATAAGACGTTTTCGTAGGCTAGCTAGTAGCCTACCGAAACGTCTTATACTTAGGTACAAAAGGGAGTACAACTGAGCCAAGATCACTCCCGGTTGAGAGATCGCGACAACTAATTCAGTAATCAGTCCTATCAACCAAGTTATGCAATTTCAGCCTGACAAACAAATATGTGTTCCATTTCTGCACCGTCAACAGAAGAGAAGAGATGACAGACTGACAAGAGTGAGTGAGTGTCGGTCTTACGCTTGAGCCGAAGAAGTAGAGGCCGACCATGTTGTTGAAGAGGTGCTTAAGGTTCATGTGGCTGAAAGCACTTGTGAGCATCGTGTGCAAACGCCCACTCGTGAAATTGTCCAGCGAGATCTGCTCATCAACAAAAACCATCAGATGTCATAAACTCAAAGTACCACTGTCTCCAGAGTGCAGTCCAGACCACCACATTAGAAATTAAGCACCAAGCACCAACCATGAAATGTTTCCTCATGAACATGGGATCCACATTGCTGGAGGCGCTCATGAGCAGCGTGTGCAGCCGCCCGCCCAAGTACATGTCCACCCAAACCTGCTCCTCCATAGAATCATCAGGTAGTGATACATCAGCAGAGCACATGAATCAAAGCAAAAGATGTCACTTGGGTAACCATCAAGTCACTAACCATGTGAGGATCGGTGATGAACCTGGGATACGCGAGCACGCGCCAGAGCATGAAGACGGACAGGTTGGCGCCGATGAGCGCGCCCACCATGTCATCAGCCGCGGCCGATGTCCAGACCGCCCTAGGGCAGAAGGTGGTCTGGCCTCGCTGCGGAGCGGATATCTCGAGGCCGGGGGACCCAGCGCCGCGCGCGGCCGGCACGACGGCCGCGGCGCTCGTCGGCAGGAGCGAGCCGGACGTGGAGCGGGGGGCGGGTGCGGGCGGGGAGGGGGAGGCGGGCGCCACTGGCGGGGAGGAGGAGCCGAGGAAGCGGCAGCGGGGGATCGGTTAGAAATGCCCTAAGAAGCTATGGTCTCTTTACAACTGCAACCGCAAAGTGCTGGTGGTGCGTAAACTCAAACGAAGTGCTCAACAATGGATCACCAACCTCCAACATGGTTGATGATGTTTATAGCTATGCTATTGTGCTCGGCAACCTGTTCGGTCTTGCGGAGCACTGCAAGCTTTTCTGGTTTACTTGCAGAAGTGCCTTTCAAGGAGGAGATTATGTTCTCAATTTCTTTGAAAAAATTGTTGACATAACTAGAAATAAGAAATCAGAAGACATCAATTACTTGATTTACAAATATATGTAACTAGATATAGACTCCGGATAGTTACCAAGGCGGTTGTCCACCTACAAATATGTAATCACCCCCGTCATGAGGAGGGAGCATATGGTGCGCATTGCTAAATCCTAGCAACACGCTCCTCGCCACATCAATACACACCACACTGGACGTCCCCCTAGGGGTCCGAACCGGTATGAACCCTCGGTCCCTGAGATTGGTCTCAATCGGCTTGCTGCCTTGTCCTGGACTAGATATCCGCCCTATCAAGGATGGTCTAGTATGATCACATACTCCACGTACATGCTCTTCCTCGGGTCAGATACGTCCTATATCATGAGATACACAAGTAGGAGTAGCTAGATATAACATAGATATCTCATGCTCCGGGGTAGATGAATTTCCTACAGCTGAGCTTTAGGTCGCTGTCTGGCCTCCACCACTGCATGAGGTCGTGCGTGCCGAATGTTGTGTTGGAGTTCTTCCACAGCCTCGCGGACGGCAAAAGGTGCGGCTGCTCCTTGCTGCTGCCGATGAGGGAGGAGAGCATGTCGCGATAGGACAGCTTCATGGCTGCCCTGCCGAGGCCGCCTATGCGCTCCTCCACCTTCTGTCGCTGCTCGAAGTAGTCGATGAAGCCCTGACAAATGATGTCCCTCTCGTTCACGTACAGCTCCGGCACCCATGGCGACAGGCGCTGGAACAGTTTCTCCATGCGAGTGCAGTAGGACCTCATGACTGTGGCCCCGAGCGCCGCCTTCACGAGGTAGCTCCCCGTGAACACGTCCTTCTTCGCCACCTCCGACGGGTTGAGGAGGTTCAAGGCCGGCATCGGTGACACGTTGGGCGGGTTGAAGAGGAAGGTCGGCAGGTACGCCTGGTGCTGCTCCGCCATGTCCCGCCCCACATCCAGCGCCAGCGACGCGCCCAGCGAGTGCCCCGCCAGCCACAACACGCACCGCTCCGTGCCCTTGCGGATGAGCATGTTGGCCACCGCCTGACGCACCTTCTGGGTCCGTCTGCAACACGGCAGATCGCTGAGGAAGACCTTGATGTCGTTGTACAGGTCGTGGGCTGACTTTGGGTGCCGAGGCATGGTGCCGCGCAGGGCGTAAACGTAGTTTGGGGCCGACGGGTGGCGCTGGCACCCTGCAGGGGCAGTACTCGAATACGGCACCGAAGATACACGATCCCGCAGCTCGAAGTGGAAGCTCTGCCACCACGGCGGCGCCAACCCCATGTCATACACCCTGCACTTTGGCCGGTCCTCCTCCATGATGTAAGTAGCCTTCACAAGGCAAGCGGCGATGCAACGCTGGTGCTCCTCGTTGCTCCTGAAACGAAAATCCACCGTACGTTTGTTAAACGACAATTCATTCATGCATGCAAAATATATACTCTACTTTTTCTGTAACAACTAATCCAATTATATAAGATTTTATCTTATAATGAAATAATTTCGTTTGACCTAGCTACTTGAATCATGTGTCACTCTAAAAGACCACCCTGCGGTCGACTATTTGGAAACCTTGCTTCTCCATGTTACAAAACGGACAAATTTCAGCTCCCAACTTTGCACTTAGTTCATCCATATTGCCACAATATATTACGATACGTACCAGTCAACGGATTGAGCTATGTGTTTGGGACCGCTGATGCAGAAGCAGTCACGGCCATGAGGTCCAGCATGTGGCGAGTTAAACGAGGTACCGCCTGCGTAGTACTGCATTTTGCTCTCGGAACTGCTGCGCGGACGACAAGTATGCACGACAGATAAATGATGCGGGATCAAACGGTCTGCTGGACTCTGCTACATGCATGGACGGACAGGTATCTGTTGTCGTGCATGAATCGTGCGTACAGTATCGTGTGTGGCACTGCTCTTTTGCTCTGCTCTGCCACTGAGGGAGCCCTCGGAGGCATATATATATATATATATATATATATATATATATATATATATATATATATATATATATATATATATATATATATACATGAATCATGACTCGTGAGAAAAAAAAAGGAGAATACGAATAACGTGGCTGCGCTCCACGTCCATATCCATTAGGGCAGGGATTAATGGCAAGGTTTATTTTTTATTTCCGTACTGATACACAGATTTTTCCTACCTGAAAATTGGAATAAAAAAATGTGTTCTCGGGCTTCCCAACGATCAATACAGAACAAAGCAAAAGCTTATAGACAAGATCATAGTAGCTAGTAGCAAGTTGCAAAATTCCGATGCCATTTTCATATGTGGACGCCTGCCGAACACAAAAAGCATTTATTGACTTGACTTTGCTTGACTTGCCTAAAGATCTTTTTGCTTGACTTGATAGACCCAGAAAGTTGTTGACACCAGCCACTATCTATTACTCCTATATAAATGATATCCAGGTCCTGTTGAATTCAAATTTGCAGAACCGGGCATGCGGCCCACCCCTGCTTTTCAAAGGTGCACCATACAGTATTGCAGACGATCCTAACCCAGTTCGTGCTATCACCGGCTTCCTGCAATATTACTGCATTTTATTGAATTTTGTTTCCCGTGAAATTTTAACTTTTATGTCATGTTAATTTTTTTTGTTTCCCACCAGTTTCAACTATTTTTTCACCAAATCTAGGAGGAACTTATCAGCATCTATCTATCTTTCCGCAAAAAAAATCTATCTATCTATCTATAAAAAGTGCTTAACGGGTTAATAAGAAAAAAGATAAATAAGCTAGAAGTTACCACAATAATTGGAAACATCTTGTCGTTGATGTGGTGGACCCATAACTTAAAAGACGTAATGGATTAGATCTAAGAGCTCCCCATCTCAAAAAGAACAAAAAATAACTACAGCTACCGTAATCCTGTACGTACTTAATTAATGGTTTATTAGATCTATAAGAGCGTTGAAAAGAAAAAGAAACTTTTTTTAACACTCAGAAAGAAAAACCTGCAGATAAATCCTTTAGTTATTATACTTAGCCTGTACGTTAGGTCCAAAAAAAAGGTGCAGCTGTCCTTAGCCTATACATACGTAATTAATGGATTATTTTTTTTCGATAAAGGATGGATTTTATTGACTCATGATGATGCATCAAGAGAATACAAAACACAATGAGTACACACCCAGCCTCTGCATAGTTAGGATGCACATAGCCAACATCAACTTACACATAAACACGCCGACAATTAGCAAAGTCATATTAGACCAAAGCTATGTGTAGGCGAGGAAAAAAGGAAAAAGCTCCAAAGTAACCAGATACACGATCGGCAAACTGCATTAATGACCATATCCGCACCAACCATTTCATGACACCACAAGGACGACAAGGTTCTTCAACAGCAACGACTTCAGTAAGGAAGCGATATTCAAGTGTCGTCGTCACCGGATCCAACCATCAATGTGCAAAACCATGATGGTATTATTAGATCCAAGCATTATTTCAATACAAACCATGATGGTATTCATCTTCAAATTGCACATTGCAACATTACACACATTGGACAGATTTGTTTGTATTCATGAATAATACTTCCACTTTGGTCCCACTACTCACAAAGAGAATGTTATCTTCTTCTGGAGTGCGACGTTTCGGTGCCCAGGCTCATCTGCACCCGTTCAGCAAAAAAAAACAAAATAAATAGTAGAAAAAAAATTAAAAAATCCAAAAAAAATTGTGTACTAGATAATTGGATACGTGAGGTGCGCCCCAAATTTCAGATCATTTGGACATCTGAGTAGATCTCAGCAAAAAAGACAAATCGGATCAAAATAGTGCGTGAACAGTAAACTTTTTTACAGACCCTAAATTTGTCTTTTTTGCCGAGAGCTGCTCAGATGTCCAAACGACTTGAAAATTGAAGCAAACCTCATGCATCAAATTATCTACCATACAAAAAAATTGATTTTTTTGAATTTTTCTAGTATTTGTTTTGATTTTTTTTGTCAGCGCGGGTGCAGATGAGCTTGGGCTCATAAATAGATTATCGCTTCTTCTGTCGCTAATTTACGGAAAGGGTTGACCCTATGGTTGACAATTATGAACTAAAGGGATGTTTCTCGTCTAGCTCGCGACTCACTTAAGGGGTCGGAGGCAACTGCAATAAACACAAGGAAAAGTAATTGTGAGAGACGGTGCAACGTACACATATACATACATATGATGAGCTGGTTGAATATTGGCTTACTTCTTCGTGGCTCGTTCTGTACCTTCGGGGTTCATTCTACACAAGATTACTGGATCAAAGTCTCCATTCAAATTGATGTTGATCTTGCCGGCGGCCTATCTTATCCGTCTCCACTCCGATGACCTCGAGCACGGCGGCATGCTTCGTGTCCGTTCTGGCGTACGTGGCAGCATTTGAAGGATTTCTAGGTGGCCTGCAGACCCTAGCACAACCCTACGTATGCTTGCCCGGCAGGATCTTGTCCGGGCTCGTGTTCTTAGGTTTTTAGGGTTTCTAGAGGGAAATCAGCCACCGGTTTTTGCGAAGGCAACCGCAGGAAGATCCGAAGCTTGATGCGCGTTCTAGCACATCGTTTGTTGGCCTGGATTTGCGACAAAACAATGTATTCACTTAGGTGGGGTGGTGGATAGCTATCCGATTGGTGATCGAACGGCCTGCATCACGTAGTCTGAAAGATGCTGCTGGGGAGTCTGGGCCATTTTCAGAGTGAGATGAGGTTGTTTGAACTAGATACTGTTTGAGTGTTTAATTTGTTTTTGTTTTTTAGTTCTGTACACAAGTGGTATTCATAGCTCGTTCTGTAGTCCAATTGTTTGTCTGCTTAACTACAGTGGCTTACGTATGTTGCTAGGTATATGTTGTAGATCTAGCTTGCGCGCTAATGGAGTGAGTGGGTGAGTGTGTATGTATGGTGTGAGTCATGCGCGTGAGTGAGTTCAGATACTACAGCTTGTACTTGAAGGGTGATGCAATTAAAAAAAAACTTTCAATGTAATGTTCTATTATTCCCCCTGAATGGTGTGTTCGGCAGTGGGGCTGAAAAAGAATATTCGATCGCTAAACCTCTTGATTGCGGGAACAAAGATACAGCACTGAACACAACTTGCAAGCTAATCAATTGATCGACGGAAGGAACGTATTGGAATTTTGACGAAGTCGCTGTGTGATGGAGCTGTGTATCCATGCTTTCTTGTTTTTCTCATCCAAACAAAGTATTGTATTGCTCACCTTAACAGAATAACTAACCAAAACTGGCTTTCCTAAAAACTCGTTTTCTAAAATCCCACATCTATTTCCCTGTATGCAAACAACCACCAACTGTTTGGTGGTTCCGCCACAACATTACCATCACGGGCTAGGAGATCCTTAGCTTGGCACCTGAGAGCGTACTCGATCAACATGGTGGCGTTTGTGTATGTGCACTCCTCACCATCAACACAGGCACTGATCTCAAACTGTCCAGAGGTGAGTACCCTCGGAGCTGGATGAAGAGCTTCGCCAGCTGTTTGAAACGCTTGGAGATACCGAACCGGTGAAAGGAGAGGGGCAGGTAAGTGGTGCGCCAAGCGATTTCAAAAATTTCTATGTGCCAGTCGATTTCGGCTTTGCCCCGAGCGCGAGACAGGAGGCCGCGGACTCCACGGCGAGTGTGAGCTGTGAACGAGCAAGATTAAAAGCAAAAAGAATTATCATAAAAGAAAATAAATAAGTAATTAGAATTTTGTTACAAACTTTAATGGCAAAAAGAATTATCATAAAAGAAAATAAATAAGTATTTAGAATTCTGTTCAAAACATTAAAAGCAAAAAAAATTATCATAAAAGAAAATAAATAAGTAATTAGAATTTTGTTACAAACTTTAATAGCAAAAAGAATTATCATAAAAGAAAATAAATAAGTAATTAGAATTCTGTTCAAAACATTAAAAGCAAAAAGAATTATCATAAAAGAAAATAAATAAGTAATTAGAATTTTGTTACAAACTTTAATAGCAAAAATAATTATAATAAAAGAAAATAAATAAGTAATTAGACGGGTGCATTGGTACCGGTTGGTGGCACCAACCGGGACCAATGACCCACCTTTAGTTCCGGTTGGTGCCTCCAATCGGGATCAAAGGTCTCTGTTTCCCGCCCTTTGGGCTGCTGAAAAGAGGCCTTTGGTCCCGGTTGGTAGCCCCAACCGGGACTAAAGGGTGGCATTAGTCCCGGTTTGAGCCACGAACCGGGATCAATGCCTTTGCTATATAAGTAGCACTTAGGAAAATTTCAGAACCGTCCATCCCCACTTCAATCTCTTCTCCTGCTCTCCCCCGACGGCGGCGAATCCATCCACGACGCCGGCAGGCTGCCCGAGCCAGCCCTCGCCCCGCGCCGCCCCGGCCCGCGCCGCCCCAACGCCGTCGCCGCCCCGCGCCGCACCTCGCCGTCGCCGTCGCCGTAAGCAACTAATTTAATTTGTCATTAGTAGTAGTTAATTTAGATGTGTAGTTAATTTTGTTAGATTTTTTTAGATTTTTTTGTTGTTCATAGATTTTTTTAGATGTGTAGTAATTTAGATGTGTAGTTCATAGATTTAGCTGTCAGATTTTTTTCATATTGTGTAATTAATTTGTTCATATTAATAGATTTTTTTCTGTTAATAGATTTTTTTTCCGTTAATAGAGTTTTTTGGTGATATTATTATTGAATATGCATGTTTGTATGTTCATATATATGCAAATCGAATATGTCAAATTTTTATGATTTTTTCTGGTCATAGAATTT